CTTTTGCTCCAGATATGGGCGATGGGATACACACTTTGTATGCAAAGTCCAAAAAAATTTTTTTAGTCTCATTTTAAGAATCTAATCTGTATAAAATAGCTGTTGTTAGTCAAGTTGCTTTGATACCAACATTCATAGTCCAGATTATCTCACTAAAGGTCTCATTAAACACTGTTGGAAGTTGTTCTACAAAAACCTTCTAGTATTTATTCTTTTTTTCTGGCATTGTGCTGACTGTTTCATTGCCTGTTTGGATCTGAGGGCTTCCCACTTGATATGGAGAATAAAGGTAAGACCCAGATGATGTAATGTTCATCGTTGATGTAGGTAACCTCTGCTGCTAAATCATTGCCTTTATTCCCTACCCACTTCCTCTGTGATTGTAAATAAGACTGCAATTCAGGTTCATTTGTTGGTTCCTAGAACATTCACAAAGCATATGTGTTAGTAACATTCCTCCAAAAATAACTACTTTCTCCTGTTTGGATTATTCTATTGTCTGCAAATGGTTAATCACTTTCAACCTAAATTGTTCAGTTAATTGGAAACTAAGTGTAAGTACCACAGTTATGAGAGTTAGAACAGTAACTTGAAGTAAAATATGATTGAGAATCTATTGTTGTACTTGGTTTTTACATTTAGTTCAAATTCAACACTATAAAGCAATTAAACCTCTGCTTTTAAATAGAGCATCTGAGTTTATAAAAACGATACTAATTTATTGGCTGACAAAGCATCCTACATATGTGAGTTTTGTGTTAAACATGACCTCCAGTTAACAGCCTCAAATGTTACTGAGAAAGGCATTGAATGAAGGCTGGAGCGAAGCACTGGCAGAACTGGGGAATTCTTTCAGTGGTCATGAAAGTCATTACACAAGCACGTTGGATTTTATTTTTGAGGAATTTCTTAATACAGCAATAGGTGATCTGATGTGTGAATTAAGGAGGGGTTGGAGATGAGGAAGGCAGGATGGCAGGGAAGTAATACCTTTCATTACTACATGCATAGCAGCTCTGTTGAGAGGTGATGTCTTAAGCTGTTGAGCCAGCAATTAGTCAACCAATAACTAATCCACTGATTCCTGCATTATCAAGTCTTTAAGTTCAGTAAAAACTATTGTCTTACATAATATAAATCCTCATTAAAATCAAAATGAGAGCACAAGTAGACCTGATAAGAAAGTGTGAAGCCAAAGGTTTGTATTGTGGATTTCTTTGTAGTGTTAATTTTCAGGTCCATGGTGTGTGCATAAAAATCACTTATTTCATAGGCTCATAGTGGAATAATAGAGAGCCTGTGAAATTATAGAATAGATTAGAATCATAGAATGGTTTGGGTTGGAAGAGACCTTAGAGATCATGTAGTTCCAACCCCCCTGCCACGGGCAGAGACACCTTCCACTACACCAGGTTGCTTGAAGGCCCATCCAGCCTGGCCTTGAACACTGCCAGGGAGGGGGCAGCCACAGCTTCTCTGGGCAACCTGTGCCAGTGTCTCACCACCTGAACAGTAAAGAACTTTTTTCTTCTATCTAATCTATATCTACTCTTTTTTAGTTTAAAACTGTTACCCCTCATCCTATCACTATACTCCCTGATAAAGAGTCGATCCTCATCCTTCCTGTAGCCCCCTTTTAAGTACTGGAAGGCTGCTGTAAGGTCACCCTGGAGCCTTCTCTTCTCCAGGCTGAACCCCAACTCTCTCAGCCTGTCCTCACAGGAGAGGTGCTCCAGCCCCTGATCATGTTTGTGGCCCTTCTCTGGACCTACTCAAGCACCATTTATCCTGTGATGGCTGCTTCATTTGACTTTTACAGCTATTATTCTTACTATCAGTCTGAAATGAACTGTGAGGGGCTGAATGCTACTCAGCTAGCCTTGTCATTTTATTTCTTTACTTAGTACTGTGTATTGTGGCTTTCTCTATATTTTGAAATTGTCTATAATACTGTTAATAGTTTCCAACAGTGAAGGAGAATGCTTGATAGCACGTTTGTGGGCTTTAAGCCCATTCAGACTTGATCTTAAGGGTCTCTCTATGAGTAGCAAAAGGGTCTTTGCTACTCATAGAGGGGGTCTCTCTTTAAGTAGCAAAAATTGTTCCTGTGCTACAAGTATCTGATCTTACTGGCAAAGTGGCTATGAATATGTGAGACCTGTTGGGTAAACAAAATCCTTTGTTTTGTGAGAGAAGGAAAATGTCAGGAGGACAGTGAATCTTGTCACCCAACAGAGTGAGGCTGCTGTAGTTCTGTGCCCTGCAGGTCTGACCAGTAGCTAGGCTGTGTGTGTATTCCCAGTATGCACCTGCACACGTACATGCAGGGAACATACATGGCAGATCAACACAAGCAGCATAATGGGTGTCATCCTGTTACTGTCTCTGGCTGATGAGGATGAAGATCTGTTTGTGGGAAACACAGTCCCTCGTGTAGGTGGGTTTATACTCTCACTAGCTGATTGCTGGCCCCCAGATCCCAGACTTCCCTGTGGCTGGCACTTGCATCACATGAGACCCTGAGGCTGTAGGCTCACTCCAGTTGCTGATAAAGACCGTTTCAGTCATGGAGGCACACACATGTGTATTTGCACATATGCTCACAGACCTCTTTGGCAGTTGGTGGGACTCCCCCAGTTCCTCTGATAGGCAGCTTCCCTTATGGCCTTGTCTTTAAAAACACAGTGCACACACACAAAAAATCTCCGTCAGTTGGCCAGGATTCCCCTCATCTCTGTAGGAGCAAACACTCCAGTGTCTGCCCCTTACAGACCCTGGTGCACAGACACAGGTGCATTTCATATTGACACCCCTGGCTCCTCTGACCCCAGAGCTTATGGTCTGCAGCAGCTGTCCAGAGCTTTCCTTATCCCTCCTCTAGCCAACTCCTCCTGTCATCTTGCCCTTATAGATACACATTCTCCTTCTTCAGGCCACTTTACCTTCTCACCTTAATAAGGTAGGACACACTGTGCTGGCTGGGTACAGGGCATGGCCAGACAAGCATGCCAACTAGCAAACTGTTTACTCATAACAGGCCCTATTTATCCCCTTATCCTGTCATTTCCCCATGCTTGTTCCTCTCCAAATCACTGAGATCCATTCTTTTCCCTGCCTTTGGTTCTTCCCTTAAACGTTGCAAAATAAGCCTTGCACAATCCCAAGATGTTTTTCCTCTTCATCCCATAATGTGTCTTTATCCCCCTAAGCAGTTACACCCCTCAGTCAGAAAGGCACTCTGGGGAGCTGATCATGTTGACTCTTGGAGTGGGTGTTAGACCTGGACCATAGGGCAGTGGCTTTGCTGGGATAGCCCTAGGAGGAGCCTGGACAGCTTGTCACTTCCTCTGAATCAATAATTTGCATTCCTTCCACCTGCTTCTGAGTTAATCTGGGTTTGTGGAGATAAACCATTGATGGGCTAATGGTTCCTGTGATGAGTTTGGGAAGATACAGGACAAAGTATTATTTGGGTTCTACCACCCACCATTGTCTTTCTGTGCTCTTCTCTTTGCATGCAGATGGACATTTTAGTACATAGCCTTAAGAGATATTCCTTTCCTTTAGTCTTAATCCCACTGCATGCATTTCCTTTCCTTTTGATATGTCCTACCTGTGTCACTTGCTTTCTTTCAACTAATTTCTTTAATGTGGCTGTGTTTAAAAATCTTCATTAGAAATTAAATCTCTATGGGATTTGAATATTGCTCTGACGATACCCCCTTTGAAGTAAGCCATCATATTTTCATGTACTACTACTCTTCAGTACAGCTCAGATCTTTTTGGCACTGTGTGCACAAGTTTTAATATTTAAAGTCATGTGAGAACTTCATCATTCACTCACCTATCTTGTCTGCCAAGTGCTTATTGAGACAACTTTTCCCTGTGCATGTGCTGTCAGCACTGTTGCTGTGTACATACAGTAACTTGCTTTGCACCTCGTACACTACTAGAGCATTTCTACAGTAGGGTTTGGCAGCTGTACTTCTGAAGCTGTAGTTTTACAGAGCTTTGTGATAGAGCAGAGAAGTGAAAGGAACACTACCAAAAGACAGTTTTAAACTCTTACAGTATAAGGTTGCCATAATAATAGTTTCTGCCAAGGCTTCTTGAGAATCTCCAGGCTGGTAAATGTAAAATGCTACTGAAAAGAAATCTCATGGTAACTCACATTCGTGTTTTGACCATGGTTTACTTTTCACTGTGTTTCAGTCTGATGTTTTGTGTCAGTTACCTTGCCCTTTTTGTCTCTTGGAGAATGCAAACTGGCAGAATAAAGTACAGGAGTTTGTAGATGTTCCAGTCTTTGGTGGTAGAAGGCATAAAAGACATAAAAGCCAAAATATATGTGAAGAACTCATTGCCTTAAGTTTATGAGAAAAGATTCTTCATGCCTTTCATGCTGGGAGATCTAGTTTTAGGCATGAGAACTGTGCAAGTTATATCTTTAACAGCTTATCTGCTGTCTTAATCTCTTTTCTTTCACTTTAAAAATAAAAGAAGCTAACCAGACCAAAACCCCTGCCTTTTGTCCAAAAAAGACTTACAACTGTCTCAGTTTTGGTAACAAAATAGTGTTGTATCTGTGTTATTTCTAGAATTACGCTTGCCTTTGGGTAGGAAACTCCTCTTACCTTCAATGTTTTTCCCTTTCCAGAATTAACTTCTTTTTAGTAACTTCTCCTTTCAATATCACATATTTTTTAAACTTTAGATCACTGTGTAGCCTATATTGTGGTTACATGGGCAGTTCAATTTTTTTTTATAATTTAGCAGAGAAGAGTTTTTAATGAATATTTATGCAATATTTTTGTACTCTGTAATTATTTTACTATTATTTCTTTTTAGATTATGTATCTGAAATACAGTTTTCCTCATCTTTGGTAACACTGTGCTATGGTAGGAATAGATTGCTGTTTGAATTAATGAGCTGGTTAGAGATTCCCTGTTATGTTTTTGTATATTGTATTAAAAAATTTTAGCTTTCTCCTTTGAGTGACCAGAAGTACTTAATTGCACTCTTATTTTTTTTCTCTATTTATTGCCTTTGAACTCTTAACTCCGATAATCTACACTGAGTTCCATCAGTTCATCAAAGCAGGTATTAATTTGGAGAATTTTGAAGAGACTTTACTGTGGAAATACTGTGTGTCAAGACCATATGAACCACTTTATTCTTTAGTTAATTTGAATGTTGGCCCTACAAAGACCTTAAGGGAAAAGTTTGTCCCTTTCAAAAAAAAATTGTCCTAAAGCAACTGTTCCTGTACGGGTCTATATGTATTTATTGGTTAAATAAATATTTTTTTTTTTAAAAAAAGACATCTTTAGAAAAGATAGAAGGTCAAACCTACTTTAAGCTGTAGTGATACTTTGTATCAAAGCTAACTTCAGCTATTCCCCATTGGTTTGCCTGATTTACAATGTTTTTGATGTAACATGGAAGATTATTGAACTATATTTTTGCCGTTTCCTCCTCTATGCACTTGGATCGCCAGCAGCATCAGTGGTAGATTTCATTACAACCAAGCAATGAAATTTCTATTCTTTCTGTATAGTGCTTTCTGTGGACCATGAAATTATTCACCTGTATGGAATATTGAGAGGTATTAACTTTTTTGAAGCACTATCAATGTATAATTCAAAAGAGAAGTGTATGTAGAATACCCACACCGTACTGCCATGCAGGTCTTGTTGTGAATTTATTTTTTTAAATGTATGGAAATTTTATTTCTAGACTGCATTGTTTTAAATTGTTTAACATAATTTGTTTGATACATGTTTAAATGTGCTAATAATCATGGTATCTCACTTTGTTTTACATGCTCTGCATGATCAAATATATTCCAAGACTGTTTCCCTCCTGTAGGACAAGTGGTATAGGATTTGGTGAATATGGGGAATATGAATGTGATGGCCTAATCTGCAACATTGCAAAACATCTACCATAGAATCTAACATTGAAGAGGAGCTTAAAAACAAATCATAAACTAAAAATGTGGACAGGTGAAAGGAAGTGAAGGATACCTTTTCAAGGATGAATGGGCTTTCATCCCTGAATTAGTGCTGCCTGTTTCTACTGGAGCAAGAATACCTCTGAGATGGCATGGGGTATTTCATGGAGGAGACTAGGGTGGTTGTGCCTGGCCAGAACTTCTGTTGCTGTGTGGAGCAGGAAAAGGGAGAGGGGGATGCTTGGGGAACATGGACTGTAAGGAAGGGGTTGAGATTTTTCAGGAGAGATAAGAAGTGTAGGGCACAGCTCTTAAACCTAATTTAGTCAATTATGTGATGACTGAACCATGGGTTGAAATTTGCTATTCTCTTCCCTCTACCCCTGCTTCAAGTCTGCATATGAAGAATCTTCAAATATAATGGTTTGTTTCCTAGTTTATGCACTTGATGGTGAACAGTGGAGAAAGTACTGGTGAACTCATACTTTGCAGCAGGTGTGCTGCCTTTCATCAGTGCTCTGTGAAAGCCATTGTTTGAGAAGAAAAATCTCATATGATTTTTCTTTTTTTCTTTTTTTTTTTTTTTTTTTAATCTAGTCACTGTAGTTTGCAATCTGGCTTCATCTTCCCATGCTTACCATAGACTTCTGATTTTATAGACAGGAAGGGAAATTGCTGTCTGGTCAAGATGTAAGATGTTTTTTGCCACTGATGACTATACTTCACTTCCAATGATGTTACCCTCCCTTTTGCATTTGTTGAATTCTCTTTCTTCCTGGGTCTTGCCTATGTACTTATTCCTGTGGAGTGTGCTTTCCTCATTGCCTGCTGGTTTGATGTGACACTGAAGGGGCCCCATCATCCATGCTGAGCTCTTTTATGTTTATGCTATATTAATTTCCTGCTTTTGCATGTTCTATAAACATCTGTATGTGAGTGGCTTACAATCTATTTCTACATTCCAAAAACTGTTCCTTTTCAGTTTTGAGCAGGAAGAATTAAAGTCTTTTTTTTCCTCTAAAGCTCTTCATGGATGTCTAATAGTCAGTTCTTGCTCTAACTAGAGTGGAACACTTGTACCCAATTTTTGCTACTAATTTTCTTTGCTCTCTCTGATCTTAATTCCACAGATGCTGTAATAACTTGTCATTTAGTTTGGTAACTTTGATGTACTTATTAAGAGATATCTCAAGATACTGATCTTCAGGATATATTGAAGCCTCAGAATATTTTTACATACCATTTTGAAGACATAAGTCTATTGATATGGTTGAAATCTTGTCCAAAATCTCTTATGCATCAAATGCTACCATAACTCTTATGTGTTGACAAGTGTAATATTGCTGTTCACATGTTAAAAAGGCTGCTACAAATATGACTTAGATTTCATCATCACATTGAGTATGTCACCTGCTTTTGTGTTCTGTTGGTCCTTGCCCATATAGGTTAAAACACACAAGTTATAACAATAAAAATGTTTAAAATTTCACTTAGTAGATCTTTACGGAAAAACTGATAAATATCTAACCAGTAAAAAAAACCCCACAACCCAAACCACTTTTCTAAAGAAGTTTTTGTGGCTCTTGATAAGGTTGGAGTGATTGTCTTGTGTTCATATTAAATCCTAAGGATTATTCATGAAACCAGGAGTGTATCCTACTTAATAAAGGATCCTACGTAATAAAGGAGCTGATGGTATTTATGCTTCTCCTAAACTTCTAAGTAATTGGAGCACAGAAAAGCAGTAAGTTTTGGATAACATAGTGCAAATAAAAATAAATATAGCAGTGTTTTAGTTATGCTAACTTGTTTTTTAATAAAAAGTAGTTTCTTTGTATATTCTATTTCAATGCATATTTGTATATTCCGTTTCAATGACAGGAGTACAGCTGCTTCAGAGTAACACTTTAAAACTATGCTTTTGGTACATAAGCCTCCTTTTTGATATTCTACATGTAATGGTTGGGAAGAACCCTTCATAAATTGGTTTTGTAGATATCTTTTCCTCCAAACTTCCCGTAAAATTCTCATGTTCTGCATGATTTCTCCATAATGTAATGGGATTCTGGTCTGTTAACTCCAGTGCTAAGGCAACTGACCGTTATATGTATCTGTAGGAAAACTCTTTAAAATGGGATGGTTAAATAACGGGCAAGTTACCACAGAAAAATAAGGATGCTTAGCTTCCAAGAGCACCATCTTAATTAAGGTTGCATAGAATGGAAACACTATGTGATATGTTATACCTTTTCTGTTTTCAGTTGGATCGATTTGCCAGTATAAGGATTCCAGGAAGTAAAAAAGAAAGACCTCCTCTGACACATATGAAGCAGTCACATTCTACAGACTGGTCATCCACACCTATGGATGGGGAGGATTTTGCTCCAAAACCCTTGTCGGAAAGAGAAGTCATAGCATTGTTTGAAAAAATGATGGTAAGAATCTTACACTGAATTCTTAAAAGAATGATAACATGGCTAACCGACAGGTGGGGCCTTCTTTTGAACATGTGTTCTGATCTTTACCTGAATTATTAATATTGTTGTTGTGAGTTGTAATTATGCGGGTTTTAGGATGTTTCTCAGGGGATGAAGTCTTTGAATTATTTTGAGAAGATTTTGTTCCAAATATATTTAAAATGGAAACTAAAGGTTTCTGATTATTAGAAATGAAATTATGCAACAGTTTTAAGGAGGAACAAGAAATGGGGAATCCTGCTTGCTTTCAAGATGACCTGAAACTTTTGTGAAGGGATTTTTTGCCTTTGAATGTCACAGCAGTTTTTTTTTTTTTTTTTCTCAATTTGTATTCCATGTCACTCTTGCACAGAAAAGACTTAAGTCTCTTGCCTCCAAAGCAGCATTTGTCTGCACATGTAGTCTCAAATTTCCTTCCTTCCTTAGCTGTCATGGTTACTGTGCTGCAAAAAGAGCGGTCGCTTCCTGGAAAGATCATGTGGCATTGGTACCACCTCAATAGGTTAAAGATTTTTGTCATGACGATGATGACATTTTGGGCAATTGAAAACTAATCATGGAATGGCCATGGGAGAAGAGAGTCATTGCAATCTGAAGAGTACAAAAGGATATAAACAAGGAGAGTGATGCCTAGGTTATTATTTCTTTATCTTCCTCACAGCAAGTAGTAACAAGTAACACTTGAAACAAAAAGGGACCACCAGAGGCTGAGATGTGGAGGAAATTAAATGCTCTGTGAGAGAAGTACCTTTATGGAATCTAATTCCTAGTACTCAATAATACTAGTTTAGTTCTGAATATGCATTTGTAGACCTGTTGAGAGATGTAACTTAAGAGACAGGATTCAGGATTTTCATGGTGAAGCTGATGAAAGGGAGGACTAATTTACTGTGCCATCAACTTTTATATTTGTATTTGTTGTTCTCACATAGTCTATTTTTCTCGGTATACCCTGGTGTCTAGGATATTTTGTTTCTGTTAAGAAATTTCTCTGTGGATGGTAGTTGTTAAAATGTTAGGAAATGTGAGAATTTTTTTATAAAATTTGAAGGTATGCCTCCCTGCATACATGCCCTGCTACATCAGTGTAGGCTGTATTTCTCTACCATCCCATGGAGATTCTGGTATAGGATAGTGTGAGATGTTGAGACTATGCCATAAAAAATGTAAACTTTCCATAAATCCTCAGAAACCTACTACTGTGCATCTATGTAAATTTATATCCATGGATCCTGAAGCAATTAATTCTAATTTTATAACTACCTTCAAAATTATGTTAATATAATAGTGTCATACTAGAAAATTTGAATGCTTTCCTAGTTTTGTTGAATAACAAAGCACTTAAACTCTATTTGATAAACTACTTCATCAGTGTTATTTTAGCTATGACATGTAATGCAGAAAGGATTCCTCAGATTATCTGCACTTGAATGGACTGGAATAAAGCTAGTTTAGTCACAGTAGATTACATAGCTAATTATATTGTAGCCTCTAGTTTGCTGTTCTGATCAAATTAAGTGATTTGTGGGGGTGGTGAACAATTTGAATGTTGTCACCAGGCTTTTAGAGCTAATTTTTCACAAAATAGAAAGTCAATTGGTTAGTACTGAAGGGAGCAGTTTCCAAATTTCGAAGTTTCACTGAATGCATTACATTGTACTTTGGGTTTTCCTGGGTGCATACTGTTTCCTTCTCCCCATCTTTTATGCAGTGGTGTCCCATATGGCTTTGATGGCAAAAATTATGAAAGAGCTCTTATAACCAGGCAGTTAAAGCTGATAATTAACTGTCATTTAGCTCCTTTCATTTCTGCTAGTGCTATTAGGAAAAAATCCTTGTGAAATGACATTCTTATTTTCCAAAGAGGTATTGCTCACCTGTAGAATAACTTCCAATGATTTAAGAAGAAATAAAAGAATGGATTTGTAGTATTTTTTAAACTAAGCACATCTGACCTGCCCCAGGTATTGCTGAATATTTCTAATCTGTATAAAAACAACAACAAAGAAATTACTTTTTACACACAGATACAGAATATTTCCTATAAATAAACCAAACCTGCCTTTACATCTAGGATTATGGAAAATAGTTTCTTACTTCCCTCTTCGCTGCTTTTTTTTTTTTTTAAATGTGATTAGAAGTTACTTTTTTTTTTTTTAAGTTATTTTTCAGAAAACTTGAAAGAGCAAGTCTGAAGAAAATGCAGAGCTGCTTTAAACAGAAAAAGTAACTTTGCAGTAGCTACTGGCTAATGTGAAAAACATTATTGGGGGTTTTTCTTCCCCCTTAGGTAGGATATACATGAATTGCACTGTTATTGCAGGCAAGGTACTGAAGATATGCTAACTCTCAGAAAACATCAAGATTTAGTCATATATTTTTGTGAAACTTAAAATGGAATACTTTGGTTTCAGTGTTCTCACATTTCTGTTTATGTAGACTTTAAAAATACAGTTTAACTATTAAATAAAACACAGCTACCCTTATTAAATATACATGTAAAGTATATTTTCATTTGAAGCCAGTATTGCTGTACAGTTGTATCCCTGTGGAAAGGAATCCTGAGGCACAGCGTTCCAAAGGCATTTATTGGAATTTGCAGTAAAAAGCAAATTTATCAGATCATGTCAAGCTGGACTTGAATTTAGTAATTCATAGTATGGGTTGCCATATGCCATATCAACAGAGACACGCATATGGCATATGCCAGGCATTGTTGCCTGGCAATAAGATTAGTCATAAATATGTTGTTGTGCATTTAATAGAAGGTAATAAATTAAACTGAAATATTATATAAAATGAGAAATACCTGTAACAAGACAAGATAATAAATGGAAAGCTATAAGGAATACTAAGAGTGTAGTATTTTTGGCAATTTGACTTGATTTCAATTCTTATACACACACACACACACCCCCACACCCACCCCTCCATTTTTAAGCTGAGAAGATGTTTTAGATAAGGCATAAAGATTTTTGGGCAATTGTTGAGAATTTCAAGTTGTAGTATATCTGGATTTGAAAGAATTTCTTATTGAAAAAATATTTAAAGGAGTAAATTCAGAAGAACTTCCTTATCTGTTCTTATTTTAAATGCCTTTTAGCAGTCCCCAAATCTTTATGTCCAAACTCATATATCAGTGTCAGAATTCATTGATGAGTTGTAAAAGTCCTGGCTAGTAGTTAACTGCTAAATGCTTGACAGTAAATTAAAATATCCAGATTGATTTGTTGTGTAGCCGGTTTAAATTTTTAGGTTTTCACCTGACCATTTCACTGTCATTTCACTTAGCAATTTCTATGTACCCTTCCTTTTAGAAGATTACTTTAGGTTTTTGATTTTTGAAATATTAAAGACACTACTTTCTGTGGTGTGTTCTTTTTCATCTTAAAAACACTGCGGTGACTTTTATAAGCCTTGATAAAGACAGGTAACTTTAAATATCTTTCACTTTTTTTCCAAATGGTGTGTGCACACACACAAAAATTTCCACTTTTTAATGTTTTTTAAAGAAAATTATCTCTTTCCATATAATGTTTGATCCCAACAGTGTTTTAATGTATGTGTATTTAAGGTTTTTTTTTTTTTTTTTAATTTTTATTTTCATCATGGATATTTGAGACTGTGCAGCGTTTTTGGATCACATGAGGTTTACTATCATTAAGTAAATCGTAATAGTTTCTTGTTTTGCTTTCATCCAAGAAAAGCTAGAAAATGCTGCATGCACTTTCAAGATAATATCCCCAACATTTGATTTAGCATGTGGCAACTTGAAAATCATTCAGGAACATGTGTGTCCTTATGCACTGCTAGAATTCTGGTTTGGGTATAAGCAGATAGTTTCTCTGAGGTTTTTGATCAAAAGAATTCAGTACTTTGAAGAATAGAACTATGAGAAAAGATTGAAGAATTCGTGTCCTCCTTTCTTCTAGCTTATTTAGATAAACTTGTTTTGCATTTACTTTCAGATGTAGGAAGTAACACCAATATGCAAGCTGTCTGCCAAGGAGGCAAAATACAATTATCATTGCTTGAATGAAAGAACTTTTTACAACATGCACACTGTTTTTTTTTTTTAATACTAAAAATATGAAGTAATAATATAGTGTATATTTGGTATAATAAGCAAATCTGATACTATAAATATACTATATAGTATTACATAATTTAAATACCATTTTAATAATAATTTAATAAGCAATAATTTAAATGCATACTAGGCTGAAGTGAGGAACCTTTTCTAGTCCTTAAGGGAAGGAAATTTAGCATTCGTGGGGGAAAAATCCATAATCTACACAAAGTTGCCTCCATTGTACTTTGAGGAAGATCATTTTATGGGGTCAAGCATTTTCTGCAGTGTCTTCTCACAGCTCAGATATATGCAGAACTCTAAATGTTTCTGCAAAAGGTACTTGAATGTATCCTATTCTATATGAAAACTAGCAAAAGACAAGGAAACTTAAGTTTCAGTGTAGTATAAAATTGTGATCTTTAGGGTTTTTTTTTTTTCTTAGAATTCTAAGGTTAGGAGTTTGCTTGCTGTTTGCCTTTGATTTCTGACTAGGTGAAATAGGTTTGATATCAAGATGGTTACCTGCTGATTTTGTAGCATTGCTCCTACCGAAGCTGGTGAGGATTCACCTTGTGAGTCTCAGCTGAAAATAACTGCAGTAATTCTTGCTAAGCTTGGATGACCATAGTAATGCTGTATGGGCTCATACGTGTGTGTGCCTAAATCGTTTCTTAAATCTTAAAGCCTTTTTTTTTCCTTTTTACCTCCAGTGTGATAGGAAATGTGATTTCTCATAGATGTGGAACTGATTACAAGGATCAGAGCATTTTCTAGGCTGGAACAGTTAAAGTCCATGTGTCAGAAATGTCAATGAATAGCTGCTGTATGCCTTTGAATATAGTCCTGCATCTGTTCTTTTTGACCTCTTGAGTTTATGTTGGAATGAATGAACTATGGTGGGGTTTTGATAACAATTGAAGACATTGGTTTAATGATCACATTGTCAAGAGTTTGGGTCTTACCTGTTGTAAAGGTGTATATTATTGAACTACTCTCAGTGCAAAGCAGATTCTGTACCCAGGATAAAGTATTTGGGAACCAAGGAACAGAATTATGGAACACATAGATATATAATTAAAAAAGACCTTTCTAAGAGACCAGTTTGAGTACATTCATAAATGTTTTAGGAAGTGTTAAACAATGCTTTTCTGTATTTTAGTGTGTGTGTGTGAAGCTGTAGGTGATTTCTAAGATGAGATTATGCTAGTGATGGGTGCGATGCACTGCTTTATCCTGTCATAATTGACTGGTTGATAGAGAAGCTGCATAAAGATTTTTATGGTTTTGAGTAACATCTAACTTGTGAAAAGTTGTTTTGTGTAATAAAGTTCATATTTTTGTGTCTATGTTTTAAATCAGTCTCTTAAACAACTGTGTTGCTGGATGACATTTAAAACTTTTTTGTTTATTTTTTTCCCTCCCATTCTAGGAAGATATGAATTTAAATGAAGACAAGAAGATGCCACTGAGAGAAAAGGATTTTAATACCAAAAAAGAAATGGTGATGCAATATATTAGCACTGCTTCGAAGTCTGTAAGTAAATATCTTTGAAATACACCAAAAATCACTTAATGTTTACATTATTTCCTACTGGAGAGAAAAAGTGATGCATGCAGGTTACATTTTTTGACTAACATTTGTTTCTCATGGACACAAACATTTTTAAAGGGCACTTTCTCATTAGTTTACAAGTTGCAAAGAAAGATACTCACTTGTACTTGAGGTGTGTCTTCTGTACACAGAACAGCATTTCTTTTTGGTGAAGTTATGGCTATTAGTGGAGATGGAAAGATTCTGCAGAAAACTTCTTTGAAAAGTTTGATGTGAACCTTTTTCCTAGCGCTGTTTGAGAAGAATTCCTTAACTGATTAGCCTTTTTCATACTTGAATTCAGTACATAATTCGTGTTTTGTTGCTATGTAATAGTTGATAACAAAAGTGTTGTACACGAATCCAATTAATGTCCATTTTTTAGTTCTAGGAATAATTACTGGTTGGTGTACCTTGATGAAAGAATGCTTTTTCAGAAGAGCTGAAGTGCCATATAGCTCCTGACTATTACATACAACTAATCCCATCTCAGGTTTCTATGGTTTTCTAGGTCTCTAGGTTTTGTTGTGGGTGATACTGCAGTAGCATCTTCTGATAGTTCATATTTCTCAAACTTTAAGGAGACAGGTACTAAGATATATTGTGTTGGGACAAATATAATAATTTGCAGCTGCTATGCAGAGTACTCAGCAGGTTTAATTTACAACAGTTACCATAAAAAAAAGAACAGCAGCTGCACCTCTAATGGATCACTGAAAGTGAAGCAGCCTCTGGTGATCAAAGTGAACTTGACAATAGTCAGAGCTTCATCACTGACCTCAGTATTAGGATTTCTGTTTCTTAGAAATGCACAGCTCCTTTCCAGTATTCGCAAAGCACATCACTGTTACTGATGCATCTAGAATTTATGCTGGGTTTGGTGGAGCTGTTCTCAGGTGCTTATTTATGTATAGAATACTGTGACCTGACTCTGTGTATGTGAGAGATGTTTGGAATGAATCCCTCACTTAAGGACTCAAAATTACTTAAAAGTAGCTAGAGTTCTACTGATGTGCATTGTCCAATACTCATTTATTTCACTCACTTCATGTAGAGTCTTCTTAAACAGGTGGCTGAAAGCATGCTTCTGTGTGTGTGTATATGTATATATATATATATATATATATATATATATATATGTGGTTGTAAGGATGCTGATACCATCACTCTTTATAACATGTTCAGGGGCTCCCTGTACAAGAATTGCTAAGAATAAACAGTCTTGGAGTTTGAGTACTAGTAGTACTTGCTGAAAATTTGAGTCATAGAAAAAACTGTATCCTTGGAAGAATTCTGCTCAAGTACTTCAATATTCTGGTAGTACAGTGGTATTCTGGTAGTATAGTGTTTAGATGAAACCTTATTTCTTTCCTGGAAAATGTTATCTTAGAGATATGTATCACACATTGTTTAAACCATCATGGCCTGGAAATATGGAATGAAATTTCTGTCTGCTGTGGTATCATGTCTTGTTCCCTTCTCTAGCTGTTTGCTGATAAATAAGTTGTGTTAAAAGGCTATTACGTGAGTGTGAATTCTCATCTATCAGAAGTGGTATGGTTCGGTTGGTTGTTAGAGATTATGTCCAGTGTATTTTCTCTGTTTTTGTAGCATTTTGTAGGTATTACGATTCTTTGAGGTTAGAAAGAATGTCCGATTTTAAGTGCTATATAAACACAAATATGTTTCAGCCCAGAAAAGTTTTAAAAATCGATTTCCATGTTATGGAGGTAATACTCAAGTGGAAATAAAAAGCAGTATTGCTGTAATGTTACTCTACCATAAATTTTGATATTCTGTATGTTGAGCACACACAGACCGGGATTTTAAAGTGAGTTTTCTTCACAAGATTTTGTTTTATTGTGCAGCTTACTCCCTGTAATGTTTTAACTGAATTAATTAATGCTGACTTCATACTGCATCTGCTTACAGACCAGTTGTTCTTCAGTTGAGTAATTAAATTTCTAGAGGCACTGATGCCTCAAGATATTTCCTGTTTCTCAGTTAACTCAAGCATTTTGAACTTAAGCAGCTTTTCCCATGCTGAAATACAGCTAATATAATCAGTTTCACAATTGGTACCAAATGCAGCTCTTGTTTTATTTAAGCACTGGCAGATGTATCATATTCTTATTATGTTGCAGAACCTTGGCATAACTATGAATAAGTGGTACTTGGTACTATGGGTAGGATGTACAGATATTCACAGTTTATTGACATCTTTTGCATAGAGTACTGTTGAGGTGGGGAACTGAATCTGAAATGGGATGGCTGGTTACTCTCTGGATGTTGATGTGAGTCTCCATTGCTTGTGACACTGTCTTCAGATGCGTCAGAAGAGACTCTGAAATGTCATTCTAGTGAATTCTTATAGTCTGGCTGGGCTCTTGTTCCATGTGACCTTTCCACTGCACACATTGCTATTGATTATATTAAATTACTTCCAAAATATCTTCTATCTTAACTCCATCCTGTCAATACAACTGTCCTATATGACTGTTTCTGCATCAAAAGAAAGCCATTTTACTGACTACTTGTAAGAATCTTTGTTATTTCCAGCTTGGTCAATTTTACAGCAGGGTCTGCTGGGGGAAGTCACTGGAAATGACAGGTTCTCCACCCAGGATATTAATCCATATGCTTAGGCATACAAGTAGTGCTTATCAACTAGTCTGTGCACAGCAGGAGCTGCCAGGAGAATTTCTGGGACTTTTAGAAATTTTCAACTGGAGAGCTGTAACATTTAGTTAAATACTTTGTCATGAAGGCTGCCAGGAGCTTGTTTGGTCAACTTCTCTAGTCAGTCCATTATCTCATCTGTGCAGAGACTATCTGTGAAAATCAAGGATCTCACAGGGATCTATCTGTATATGCTGTGTATGCATACAGGCATGGCCCTGATCCCGTTATGCCACAGTTGGAACAATTTCTTTTTTATATCATAGCCATAACTCAAATTCCCCTCATTGTTCCTCAGGGGTTTATATTCTCTAGTCTTAAAATATTTGGGGATTATTGTAACAGGATGGATGTGCTCATATATAAGCTTTTAAATAACCAGACAGAAACCCTTGTTGCCAGTTCCTCTTAGCCAGTGAATTTGTAGTGTTTTGGGCAATTTACAGTATAGTAGCTTTTACTTTTCATGTTTTATCAAGTCTGATACTTAGTTCTTAATATTATGAATGCTTTTTTGTTTGGTTTAGTATCTTCTACTTTTGGCTTGGAGATTCTCTCCAGTTGTTTTTTTGTTTCTCTTTCTATCTTTTGATAGGCCTGTGTCAAAGCTGTAGGGGAACTGAGCTTTCTTTCCTTATGGAAGTGCAAGCAATTATACCATCTTGGTGAGGAGAGTAAATTGTTTGTATAATAGGTTTGCCAGCTAGATTTTTTTTTGAGGAGGTGGTGTTCTGTTCCTGGTTTGCCAATGTATACTATTAACTCTTGGACCCAGAGAATATCTGAGGAGATTTAAGTAAGTTGCTGTGCTCTAGGGCCTTTCTCACTTGAGTATTATGTGCCTATGAACTAAACACAGAACACTAAATAAAACTGTAAACACAGGGGTTTTTTTGGTTTTTTTTTTTTTTTTTTTTTTTCCTCTGACTTTCCTTGATCTCTAATTCTAAGGCTCTCCTCAAACCCTCATCCCTTCTTGACCATTTCGTCTACTTTTTTTCCATGGACCGTAGTTGTTGTGACTGACATATTTAAGCAAATAGAGATCTCCATCAATTCAGAGGTATGAGGCATGTTTGGAATGACATTCCATGTATTACCTGCAGTGTACCAAAATATAGCATGAGGTGCTATATTTTCAGGGTGGTTTCTGGCAGTAGTCTGATTTCTGGCATCTGGAACATCTGTTTCTCAAGTATGAGGAAATATAGGTGGAGCAGAGGTAGTATAGCCACCAGTAGCCCTCCAAAGTTCGCTTATCACAGAGTCATAGACTAGAATGATGAAGGCTGTTAAACCTCCGGAGATTGTCTTGTCCAACCCCTTATCTAGTCCATTTTTTAATATCTCTGATAGAGGAGACTATACAGTCTCCCTGGGCAACCTGTTCCAGTGTTTGACCATCATTATGGTTAAAAAAAAACACAGGGGGAGAGTAGGGAAGTTTGTGTTTGTCTTATGTTTAACCAATTTGCTGCATTTCAACTTGTGCCTCTTGTCCTTTCACTGATAGGATTCCCCTGAGCCTTCTCATCTTGGAACTAAACAATCCTGACTCTATCAGCCTCTCCTTGTACAACAGATGCTCCTTCAGTTGTTGTGTCCACAGCCCTTTTTGGACTCATTCCAATATGACCGTGTCTGTCTCACGTTGGGGAGCCCAGAACTGGACACAATACTACAAATGTCTCACCACTGCTGCGTTGAGGGGAGGGATCATTTGTCTCCCTTGACCAGCTGGTGATGCACTTCCCTATGGTCAGCTTGTCATCTACCAGGACTTCCATTTTTTTCCTACAAACTTACTTTCCAGCTGGTTGCTCCAAACTTGTGTTGATGCATGGGATTATTCCTTCCTCAAGTTCAGGATTCAGCCTTTCCTGTTGTGGAACTCCCTGGAATTCCTCTGTCCATTTCTCCTATCAGTTGAGGTCCCTCTGAATGACAGCACAACAGTATAGTCTGTCAACCACTCTTTCCAGTTTTTAACTTCACCTCTCTGCTAGAAACTACTTCATCATCATCTACTTCAGGGGGAGAAAACTTATTTTTCCACACTTCTTGAAGATCTACCAAAGTGAGAAAACATCTGTATGAAGCACTGTATAATAACATAATGAGAATGCCTCACCATTTACAGTGCATAGTTCCAAGTTGTTGCACTGGAAGTCTAATTCTGTTCAACTTCTGACTTAAGCCACTAGATAATCAACTGTTATTTAGTAACTTTCTTTAGTGCTTGTTGTGTTTTGAACTCAGCCGGCAGCCAATCACCACATTGCCAGCCGTTCACCTCCCCCATCCCTAGTGAAATAGGAGAGGGACAAAGAGAAGAAAATTTGTAGGTTGAATAAAAAAAAGAATTTACTAATAGTAACAAGAAACAACAGTGTCAAAGTGTAAGTCCAAAACAGATAAAATGAAGCAGTAGCTTACCGAGCATGGTGACAGATGCGCAGCTCCCCCCCC